ATGGACGCGGGTGAGCGCCGGGGCCCCGGGCCGGGCCGGGCCGGGCGTGGCCCGAGCGCAGCGGGCAGGGGCAGGGCCGGGAGTCCCGTGTAGGGGTAGGGAGCCCGATGGGAGAGTGAGGGTCTCACGGCCGGGGGGTGTCATGGCCGGAGTGGGTGTCGGGTTGGTGGGGGGTGAAGTCCTGGCTCTCGCTGCTGTCCTGGGCTGGGCGGCTGTGCCCTGGCCAGTCGCGCTCTGATGCGGAGGGTCCCACGGGGGAGGGGAGCTGTGCTGTGCTCTCCCCCTGCGTGGGGGGCTCCCCGTCCCTCCCCTCTTTGCGCGCACGGTTCCTGGCGCTCCCGGCCCCCTCCACGTGCGACTGCCCAGGGCATGCCCTCAAATCCTGCCGTGGGTGGGCTCGGGGGAACAAAAGCCGATCGCGATGCATCTGAACAGGGACGTGGTGTGGAGTCATCCTGGGTAAGATCCTGAGCTGCGGCGTTAACTCTGCCCGTCTCGGGAGGGGCTGCTGGAGTTGGTGCAGGCCCAGTCACCAGTAGGTGGAGAGGTTGCCGTCGGTGGCAAAGGGAAGGAGAGGCATGGGCCTGGTGGGCTGTCAGTTCAGGTCCATGCAGGTGGGGAAATTGTACCAAGCTCTGCCCAAAGGCTGGAGAGAAGGTGCCTGTGTGAAGACCCATGGTCTCCCCCTACCCCATGCATGTACTTCCTTGGAAAGGACATGCGTCTTCTCTTGAAAAGTGGTGAGGAAAACCTGTGCTTGGGGAGGGAGGAAGGAAGGAAGGAAGAGAAGAGAGATTACAGCATTTTTGCACCCTGAGTCCTCAGGGGATGCTGGTGACACAATCCCAGGCTCACTGCAGACTTGATGCTCACCTCTCTCCTTAAGCCAACAAAGTGCGTTGCATTGAAACAGCCCAAGGTTTCTGCTCCCAGGCTGCCCAGGACACTTTAGAACAGGCTGAGGCATTCATGGAGTGAGTGGTTGCTGGCCTGCTCCTCTCTGGGATGTTTCAGTATTTGGCATTGACTTGTTCATCATCCATGACTTGACCAGCAAGAAGTTATTTTCTAGTTTTACAGGACACTGTCCTTTCTCCTGTAGCTCAGTGTGTCTGGCTGGGTGCATGCTGCATGGTGGAGTATCCTGGCTTTAATAGGCTCTAGGAAAGTTTTTCCTCTAGTTGTCTTCGTAACGGGCTTAATGGGAAAATGCTACTTTGCTGCTTCAGGGCATTTGTTTGGCCCTTGCAGTCTATCCTTTTGCTTATTTCCATTAAATCTGTTGTGTGTTTTGACAAATGTTAGGCTGGTTTTATGCTGCTGAGGTGCTGGCTGGACTATTTTAGATGTGGATGTGAACAGTGGTTGCATGAGCTTTCTCCATGCTGCCCTGGTAGTGAGGCACAGCCCTGATGTGAAGTGTTACTTCCAAGCAAGAGCTGGTGGCTCTGCTGTTTGATCATGACCAGCTGCTGACCAGATGCAAAGTAGTGACCCAGAACTGAGTGACTCACCATCCTGCACTGATTAGCATTCTTCTGAATACTTGGCATATCTTATTTTCCGTTTTAGACCCATAACTCCTAGGTCCAAGGACTGCTGCTTTTATTTTCCCCTCCAGAGCGGGTATCATTCTCAAAGTTGTGCAACTGTTGCTATCAAACTGGACTCCCTGACTGGCATGTTATTGCACATCACAGCACAATGCTTGCTGCATTCAGGCGGACAAGAATAATGTCTGGGAAGTGAATAGCAGACCGAGGGTACTAGTGGTTGAGCATTTGCCTTATTTGTTACAAGATTTATTTATGTGGTAGATAGTGGAAGCTCTGGCAGCTGAACCTTCCTTATCCCAAACAAGATTAGGTCTCCTACAGCTTTCTTGTCTTGCAATGTCTGAAAATTTAAGGACCCTGTTGGCCTTATCTTTCAGCAGCTTTGTGAGCCAGTTAGTCTTGGGGAGGAAGCCTTTAGTTTTACCTGGGATCTGATCTGGCCTGGGAGTGAACAGAGCTATCCTCTGGCACATTCTTTTTCCTGATTAATCTGAGTTCCTAGCTGTTCCTTTGAGCTCTTTAGATGGTCAGGGACTGCCTGTTTCTATGCCCCAAAAAAGACCAGGGTTCAGTTTTATTCACTGCTTTTGCAGAATAACAAGCGTTCCCCCTCTCTTTAAAATGAAGAGGTTCCAAGCTTTTTGACTGGTTATTTTTGACTGAGCATTTTTCAGTTACTACCTCATTGGTATCACGTGTTTAATTTCTCTCTCTTTTTGCATATTTACTGTCCAGCAGCCTGCCCTTGCAGGTCTCTGTAGTTGTCTTCTTCTCCTCCCCCCCCCTCTGAGATTGTTGCTTGATTTAGTCATGCCTTCCCTCCTGTTCAGTGTTTTTTGTTGGCCAATGGCATGAGTAGTTTGAAATGAACCTGAGTGGGAGAAGTGCTTTTAAATGGTTTCAGCAACAGTCTGAAAACTGCTACAGTACAGCTATAAGATAGTTCTAATGACCAGGAACAGTGTCCACCCCTGCTTTGATCTGTCTCTAACTTCTGGATGCACGTAGACAGGAGCATGAGGGGAAGTACTGCAGCATGCTGTTCTGCTTTCTAAAGGTAAAGTTAAAGGTGGCTGATAAGACTCCAGCTGACAGGTGTAAGAGGGGAAGTTCTTACATTTAGCGCAGTGGTGGCTGTTTGATATAAGCAAGGCAGGAAATCCCTGGACCTGGTTCCTGTGCTGTGATTAACTGCCTCTTTGTGTGCATGTGTGATAAATATGCACTGACACACAGATAAAACTATGAACGACCATATGTAACTGTAAGACCAACAGTTGAAGAAAATAGAAAACAAGAGTTAAGCTTTTACACACAACTTTATCTCTGTTCCTGTGTGCTTTAAAATCATCTTTTATTAATTGCATGCTATTTTCCAACTAATGCTCTTATGCAACCTTGAATGCGTATGTCAGGCCACCAAGTATTGCTCTGTGAATGCCAACTAACCTGACAGTGGAGGTCCCCTCTGTATGTAATGCTCACTGACTGTAGCAAAGGCTTGTTCATGGAGCACTGCACAAGCCTGTAGGATGTATCTTGTATTATGTAAGAAATACTATGTTATTACTTAATTAGACAAACTCTTGAATCGGGCAGGAGGGAGGAGCTACAAGTGGCATGCTCAGTCCAGTGCTAGCATTTTATCACTGGAGAGGGCTTTAACATTCTCAGTCTAGCTTTATTTTAAGGTGTGGCCTGGATCTGTTTGGAAGAGCAAAGCAGTTCCTTTACCTGGGATTATTTGGCAAGAGACTGCTCTGTAGAGCTGTGGTGTGCTGTACAAAAGTGTGAGTTCCCTAAAGCAAGGTTCAGACTAGCCCTCTCAATGCAGCTGGCTCTGCAAGACCAGGGAGTCCTGCCCTCTTTGGTGTATATTTTGTAGGATCAAAGACTGCTTTTTATTAATGACATTTGCAGCATCAGGATGCAAGCTGCTATGGCCCCCCTGCGTTACCTGTGGAAGATTAGGGTGTTATGGCTTGTGGTTGTGTTAGGGTTGACTGTAGTTTTGCTGATAGGTTATACAATAGATTTGTATAGGATGGTTTGGATTGGGAGGACCCTGCCTTAGGCAGGGTGTTAAACTAGATGACCAGCCCAACTTCCCTATGACTAAGACTTTGTACTGGGCATGTTCAGTCCTTGTAACTGCATATTAGGGAAGCCCTGTGTGTTTAGTGCTGACTGAAGGTAGGCTGCTTTTTCATTGTTTTTCTATGAGTGTGTTGCACAGTGCAGCTTACTTATCCTTCTCAAAAATTGTTGTTACATACAGATATTTCAGATTTATAGGACAAAACATTGCCTTCAGGGAAGCCTCGTAACTCTGCCAAAACGTAGCTGAGAAACCGCAGGCCCTTATGTTTCTGCGTGCTGAATTTCTGCTTTTTATTTCCAGCTGTTTTGACTCTAGGGCTTTCAAGGAAACAATTGCCAGCATCACTTTTATGATGGGGCCAGCACATGTGTGCACTCACCCTCAAAAATAGCTGATCTGCTTTGCTCATGCTGCCAAAACCTTCCCGGTTGGACATACATGGGGTTTGGAGAATTTCAGTACATGGGTGGAAACCCCAGAGTTACGACCAGTTGAGAATGGCACCTAAGTGTGGTCCTGTTCCACTCTGAAAAACTTAGTGTGGCTTGTCCTGTAACATGCTGTCCTCCTGGCTCTAAGACTGTCATAAAAAGCAGTGAGGATGAGGAACAGGATGACCTCTCACCTCATGTATTATGAGGCTTGAGCAGGATGGAATAGGATTGCACTGAGGAGCCTAAGTCCACTTAGGCATTGAATGGGTGAAGTGGGATCTGGCCCAGCATATTTAAATGTTGTATGCTATGGAGTTTCTGAGCACATAACATGGGTGTGCAGAATATGGCCCATGGGCAGGATCCGGCCTGTCGACTGATTGGGTCCAGCTTGTAGAGGGCACTTGCCAATCAATTGGATCTGGCCTGTGGCACTCCACCTGGGGCCAAGGCCCACCCTGGGTAGCCAGTGCTGCACTTCTGCCCATGCCCAATTGCCCTGGCCCTGGCCTCAGCCCTGGTCCTGGCCGGTGTGCACAGCTTCCCGCAGGGCTGTTCGCAATACAGCTGCAGCCACTTGGGGGCTGGTCAGCTCCTCTCACCTCCAGCAGCAGCTTCTCCTTCTGCTCCTGTCCTTGCTGTGTCGCTCTGCGCAGGGAGGAAGCTTCAGCTGGGCAGCTCCTGCCCCGTTGCACAAGACTCTGGCTCCAGCTCCCAGCTGCCTTCCACCCACTCTGCCTGCCTGGCACAACGATCAGGCACCTGCAGGCAGCTGAGTGGCAGGCAGGTCCCTGCCCACACAACCCATCCCTGTCACAGGGCATACGGGCAGTGGATCGTGGCTCTGTCCCAGGCCCCAGCCCTGTGTTGTCACCGCCCTGCAACCCCATGCCATGATCCCAGCCTTGCCTACCTGTTCCACTTCCAAACGCTGCTTGCCTGCCTATGGCCTCTCCCAAATAGGGGGTTTTGGTGAGTTGTTGTGGAGGGGTGGGTGCTGACCCAGCTTGTGACAACTCATCAGAACTTCTTATGTGGACCCCGGGCCCAAATAATTGCCCACCCCTAACCTAGCATGTCAAGCAGACAGCTAGGGATTCCAGCAAGCCAGCTTAGCCTCTTCCTATAGCAGCTGTCATTGGATTGGAAAGAGACCAGCAGCTCTTTCTAGTAGACCTACTCCTTAGGCTGCCTCTTCCCAAGCACATAGGTTGTGAGGCATGGTACCCTGTGAAATGAGAAGTTGCAGAGCATATGAAATTTGAACTGAATGGATCATCTATTGATTGAGCAGTCAAGTAGGCACTGGTGGGGAGGTGGGAGCCGGGGAGCTGTGGCTGGCCAGTTGCAGGTTGTTTGCAGAACATCAGTAGGCAAAACTGAACTTACCTGTCTCAAAACCAGTGTACATTCAGTTCATGCCATGTTTGAGATCCTGGGAGCAGGGGAAAGTGTATTTCAGCTGTGTTGAATGGAGGACGTGGGTGGGAGCAGGATGTGGAGAGTCATGTATGGTACAGGTGTGGACCCCTTCTTTAAGCCAGACTTATTTGAACCTAGTTCAGATAATTTTCATCATTAGGGGTTCAATCTTTGACAAGTTTGGAAAGCTGGAATTAAGCTGTTTTTTGGTCATTGGGAGCACTAGAGCAGGTGTGAAAAGTTTCTCTGAGATTTTTCAGCTGAGGCCATCTATCTCATTTGATTGCACCAGATTTTCTAAAACTGAATAAGGAATCCACCTTTAGGTTAAGAGTAAAGTTGCAAAACTTCATCCAAAAGGATGACCTTTTTGATGGCTTAGGGAGCAGTAGAAGGGCTATGCAGAATAGAAAAATGGGGAATCTGCCAAAAATAGCATCTCTGGCCAAACCAGCACTTCAGATACCTATATTTTCCTGGTTACAGAATTATCGATTGGCTGTAGTAAGAAGCAGGATGTGAAAGAAACTGAACTGAATTAATTTGCATAAGTGTCATCTGTGTATCCACGGCGGTTGTTGGAGACCTGGTTGGTACCTAGTACTGGCTCATATTCTTGTCCCTACTGCTAAATTGTATCAAAGAGCTAAAAATATGTTACTTCCCTAATATTTTGCCATCTGAATAATTATACTTCTTACGGTAAAGTCGTACGGTAGCAAGTGAGCAAGGAAGCATGGTCTACTTGATCCCGAACGAGGCGAGTTGTCTGAAATAATCTCCCAAATGTGTGGGCCACAGAATGGATGAGCCTTGGCAAAGGGGTCTGCTTGCTTTTCCCTAGATCCAGCCAAGGTCACGGCTAGGGGCTGCTGCTGCTTTGACCACAGCAGCTGAGTTGCCTTGGTGTGGATGTGGCTCAGTTGGCAGGAAGAGACTTTTTTTGCCACCAGAAT